TGCTGCATGTGCTGGCTGATGAGTAAAAATAGAGTCAATATATAAAAGTGCTGGGAACTTACACACTGAACAAAATCAAAGTATGCCAGACTGGGAAAGGGATGGTTTGCTGCAGCCTGCAGCAGCATTCTTTGCGTTCTTTTTTTTTTATTGTTGTTGCTTGTTTGTTTTTAATTATTATTTGTAGGAATGCTTTGGAGCCAGGTCATCGCTGCTGTAAATCTTCACATTTTCATTGATGCCTCAGAGGGATGGTGATTTACACCCCCTGAATAGATAGCCTTCTGGGTGAGGACATTATTATGGTGTCTTTGGTCTTACATCATTTACTTCCTCTTATTGCCAGAAAGAAAAAACAGTCAAAGGAGAGGTAACAATAAGCTCCTCAATAAGTGCCTCCCATAAGAAAAAAAAAAGGCAAAAAAAAAAAAAGCTCAGTACCTGTAAAATGGTCATACAGTTGGTACGAAAGCTGGTGGATGTTGCTGTTATAGCAGTATCTATAGGAATAGAAATAGCAAGAGGAGAAATAGGAATTTTGGCATTCCCCTGGTCTCTCTCCAACTTGTGAAAATCCTGGGATGGAAAGAAATGCCATCTTTTGGAGCTACTTATTTTGTTTTCTGCAGTGTCTTCATATACAGAAACTTCTCTTGAAATATAACCAAAGCAGAATAACTAATAAGTAAGTAGGATAAAACTATTGTTTGTACTTGTTTCAGAGTGGCGGTGGTCACTTCTGTCTCAAGTGTGTCTGTGGAAAGAGAGTCCAAATGATTGCTGCTATTCTTACTGTGGTATTTAGGTGGATGACAGCTTGGTTTAAATTACTGAGGCAAAGTGAGTTTTGCTCTCCCACCATCTAGCACAAAGAAGCATTGAGTTAGAGAAGCCAGACCTCACTTGTTTGAGCAAGGCGATATTTTACTACCATAAATTCCCGAACATAATGTTGACCTTTAATACTTCTTTTCCTATTACCATCCAGAACATCTGGTTGCCCTTGGCATCTAAAGATAAAGCTTAAACCCCCCAAATCACCTGCTCAGGTGCCATCTAACTGTGAGAGGACCTCAGTTCCTGCCCCTAGATTCCTCTGCCTGCCCAGGTCCCAGTGACCTTAGTGCTGGTGAGCAGTGCATTTGCACTGGGCTCTACCGGCACGGCACGGCACTCCCCTCCAGTGTTAGCGGGGGGTCTGTCCTGGCAGGTCTCCTAGAGCAGGTCGGCTGCGGTTGGGCCTCACGAAGTGAGACACACTGTGTCTCACTGTAGTCTGCCAGTTCAAGTGTGTGAGACATGGAAACCTGAAGTTCAAATCCCCTGCCTACCTCAGCAGATACATCCCCTAAGAGCTCATGCTTCGTTTCCCCCAGGACCTCTGAGGTATTTGGAGAAGGCGGGTATGGGATGAGTGTGCATGTTGGAAGAACTGCTACTGTTTGGGCAGGAGGGAGTGCAGTGCCTCATGACTGCAGATGGTTGCCCTAACCACTGGCTTCAATGATGGGTACTTGGGATCCAAATCCTTGTTGTAATGGGGAGCAATATACAGTCCTGGGAATGACTGAATCTCCCAGAGTGTTTTTTAAATGCCAGCTTTAATAGTTAAAACTTCAATGGTAGAACTCTTCAGGAAGCCTGGAAGCCGGACATTTTAAAGAATTACGGAGAACTTGAAAAAAAAAAAATACAGAAGCATAATTGGGTGTTAAAGATAGGAAACTGAGATTTTTTGCTCTCAACTTCTGTCCCTGGTAGGGTCCTAGTTGAACTCTCTGCCCTCACATTTCCTCACTTGCAAACTAGGAGCGATACATCGTACTTAACGGGCATTCTTCAAAGCATAGTTCATGTTTGTGAAATACTGGGAGTGGCCAAGACAAAGACTTCTGGAAGTACTAGGTTATGGCAGGGGCACCAGAACTGTCTGGCAAGTGGATCTTTAAGGAGACACTCGAGGAAGGTTGTGTTTGTGTTTGTTTTTGTTTTTTTTAAAGGATATGATGGCAAAGCTAGTCCACTGGGGTATGGAAGAGGTGAAGTAGTTACGTGGAAGAGAGGAAATGTCGCATGGTTCCTGTCCCATGGACGTGAACCAGCTCGTGCTAGGCGGACTCTTTCAGGGACAATAGATGCATTGGAGGGGGGTGGAGGGAGGGCTATAGACACAATCTCACATTCAATGTACTCACAAAAGGATGCAATGAAAGAGGGTTGAATGTATATAATACAGTGCAGTGGATGAACAGTAGGTTATAGATGAAGAGACAAAGGTTTATTATCAAATGTAGTCCATCATGCAAGGTGACACTGAGTGTTGGCAGTGGCGTGAGGGACACGCATTCCTGAACTTTGTTCATTTTATGTCAACAAGTATCTGTATCGCTTATCTACAGTTACGAAACTAGGTAGCAGAGACATCAAGGATTAAACAATGAGAACACAGTATTTCATTTCTACAGATGGTATTTTCAGCTCAAAATCAATACATTTCAATGACCTGTAGGATTGAAGAAGGTTAATCTTTTGTTGCCATGGTCCATATTATGTCTTTCCACTAAACACATGCTGCACTTGGATTTGCAGCATGCAAACTACTACAATTTTTTTTGAGAAGTACTTGATTTCCGGTGTTGCTGGTGATTTAAAAAAACCCAAAACTTTATATGCATGTCCTACTGAAGCCTTTCCTTGGTTTGCATGATGAGAGGATCTGGAGCTCCCCATTGTAATCACTTCTGGGAACTCTAAATGGGGAATGGCAACAAAAAGAAGAATTTTGAGATTTTACAAGAGTCTCACCTGTTAATCCATAGTAGGTAAAAGTGAAAAATCCCTGTATAAAGTACTAGAAGTTTGTAGTGCCATTTGCATTGTTTCCTTTCCTTCTTAAGGGGAATTGAATGGACCTTCCCATAAAGAGCAGTGTGCATCTCCGTGGCATGTTAAATTTACAACCTGTAGACTCAACTAGTTAATAGGCCAACTACTGTCTTGCTTTAGGTTCTGTTTAGCTTCCATTGCTACATTTGCCTGGAGTGATTTGTTGTTGAGAAATTTGGGACTTCAATCCCTGAAGCGGAAGGACAGGTTGCTGATGCCCAAGGTTTATTGAAGAAACAAGAAAGAGTGTATAGCTGTTACACAGTGTGGTGACCTGAAATGCCTGGATGACTCAGTTTCAAACTAAGACTTGTGTTTCAAAGGTGACTTGTGTTTTCAGGTTCCTGTCCTTCTTATAGAAACTATAGTCAAAAGTGTGCAATTGCATGGTGAGACACACAAATCAAAATTTGTGCTTGCTTGCTTATTTATTATGGCACTTAATGGTACCAGTTCCATCCCTTTCTCTCACCCTGGTGCTGTCTGGGTCACTTGCACCTGTAAGCTCTGCAGAGCAGGGACAATCGGCTCTTCTGTGTTTGTTCAGTGCCTCGGTGAGTTGGGTGCCCCTGCTTCACGAGTGCTGAGGCGCCTTGTGTTAGGCCCCCAGGAGTACTGGAGGGGCTGAGAGCGAGAGCCAGCTAGCCGCTGCTGTCAAGGCCCAAGTCTAAAACATAGATCCCTAAGCCCCTGCTTACTAGCACGCCAGGAGTGAGGAGGGTTACATCAATACCTGCTTCCAGAGTGGCCCAAATACACTGCTTTAACACATGCTTAAGATTTATGCACAGGATGGGGCTGAGAATGTCTGCCCCAGTGCCCCAGCCCCTCCAGTCCCGCTGGCTTTCCCTCCCATCATTGCGGCTGGTGGAGAACCAGTTATTCTGCGTGCTGTGTAACAGCTTTAACCGAGAGCACCTTGCCCAGCACACGTCTGTGCCGTGCTGTTCAGACACTTCGCTGGTGCAAGCCATTTCAGGCAGAGGAGGGAAAACTGAGTTCCTGGGTGAGTGCTAAGTAGCGTGTTGGCTCAGAGGGGTACCATGACCCCTGCAAGGGGGTGGAGTAGGTGCCTAAGAAAAAGCTCAGGATTGGGAATTCCACACGAGGTATCTTACCTCACCCCAGCTATTTGAGGTGTCTTGAGAGATTTATTGGCATGTCCAACTGATTCCTGTAGAGTTCTTCACTTAACAGGATGGACAGCATAGATCCCGTTCATAGGTATTCTGCTTTTTGCCTTCAATGTGCGCTGAGGCAGCGTCTCTTAATTTGGGGCTGTGGATTTAGGCAAAGACACACTGCAGTGCTCAGCACTGCAACAGCCAGGCCCTTTATTGAATCTGGCCTCACTGCAGTAAGTGTAAGGGTAAGAGAGGCATGAGAGGAGAATGACTGTACAGGAAGGAGAGCTGCACTTGACTTGCTAGAATGAAAAACATATTTGTAAAGGGATAAAATTAGCGCTGGGTACAAGAATGCCATTTAATGAAACAAATGACTACACCTCTTCTCAGTGGCAGGAAAAAAGTGACACATCACAGATAACCAGCAATCCCCCATCCTACTCTCTGGGTTGCTGCAGAGTAGATGGCACTGCCGGCTGGGCTGGCCAGGCTGGGGTGAGGAGTGGATCCCAGCGCTGAGGCCTCCCGGGTGCTGAGACCCCCTGGCCACACGCCTCGCTGTATGTACAGTGAGTGACTGACTTTGGTTCTCATCTGTGGGCTTGTAGTAAGAGGTGTCTTCCTCGGGTACTGGGAGAGCAGGGCAGGAGGGAGGATGTATGTGTGAGACATGGGAATGTGGTCTCACTGAGATGTGTGATCGCTCGTGAGGTACTTGTGGCAGCAAAGTCACAGAAAAACTTAATAAAAATTGAATGTCTCTTATTGGATGCTCTTTTATCCCCTATTTGTTGTATTTTATTTCTCCTCTCTGCTGTATTTTTGCGTGCTTTATGTCTCCTTTTGATGTCATCTTCTCTGTAGTTCTACATCCTTGTTTTGTGTTCATTTTTATTTACTGTTGCTTTTTTACTCATGCATGTCTTTACTACTTTAGCATTCCTAAATACTTTCTCTTTTGTCTCTCTTGTGATCTGCCATAGAGTTTGGCCACCTTCCATGCGATGGAACAACGTAGCTGAGTTGTGGGCTGACTTTGGCTTGCTTCACCACCCTGAACCAGACTGCATCTGCGGTCATCTGGAACAGACTACAGGCCTGAACTGATAAAGGATGCTGTGGAAACGTGGATCTCTGGGGCCTTGGCAAGGTATCCTCATATACATATGTGTGCGTGTTGATGTGTGAGTACATTCAAAATGCCTGTCTGTTCCACCAGCTCAGCTGACTGGGTGCTCCTTTGGGCTTTGCAGCAGCTCATGGGAAATGGGAACAGACCTGCAAAGCTCGTGGGAAGACTGGGATTAACCCTGAGAAGGGGGATATGCCTGTTGCCCAGGAATGTGATGATCGTAAGCAAGAGATCAAAACCCCCTCACTTGACCTTTGTATAATTCCTTCCCTTCCAGTGAGTCCCTTTCCCTGCCTGTGACTCATCTTCTTCTAAATGTAGACTGTAAGCCTCTCAGAGGACTGCCTTTCTCTCTGAACAGAGTAGCATAAAAAATAGCAATGCTGTTGAATAACCGGTATTATTTTTTAACACAGAAAACTTGAGGACTGCCTTGCTGTATCTGTGCTTCTCTGTCAAGGGATTTATTGGTTCCCCGAGAGAACAGCGGAGCAGGTTCTGTCCTGACCCGCAGCAAGAAGGTTGTTCAGACAAGAGGTCTCAGGAGCAGCACAACTGCAGTACAGTGGGCAGTAGATGTTATAATGAAAGATAGGTAGGCTCTGACAAAGGCCAACGAATCTTTCATAGCACCCACATACTTCCTTCCCTATTTCTGACCCATTCATAATTGGCAGCATCCCTGTGGTAACTGCAGTGTGGCTTACATGGACGTCCGGTGGGAAGTTGCCTGCTCCCTTCAGCAGGCTGCCCAACACCCGTCTCCTTTCCTCCAGCCTCTACATATGCTGTCCAGCTGCCCAGCCCACTTCTGTTCACAACACTTGGTGACCCTGGTGATCACACTGTTACCTTCCATCCCTCACTTTAGCTCTTGTTTTGCCTTTGACTTGTAGCAGATCTCTTACTAGAGCCAAACTGGTTCCTTTTCTCTCTTCAGATGCTTTTGCTGTATCCTGTCTCTTTATTGCCTGGTCCTCTGGAAGACAAAAGAGTGAGAATCAGCGGTGTGTGGTTATCCTGCAAACAGTTTGAGAACTGCTTTGACAGCCAGTGATGTGGCCACAGCAAGCGCATGCTCTAACAATTTACAATTGCGCTATGATCCCAATGAGGAGTGATGCTTGAACCTCCCTCCGATTACCTGTGTCCTTTTCTTTTGCTGTAACAATGTTGTTTCTTTCCAACACACAAGTGTTCATGCAGAAATGCCAAGATTCTCCATGCAGATTAAAGTAGGTTTGCAAATTAAGGAAAGGCTGGAATGGAACAAAAGGAAAATGAAATTATCCCAGCAGTTTTGCACTTCCTTGTAATCAAAGTCCTGTCTTTGGCAGGTGTTACGTTACACATGAATTTTCCTTGTGTAAAGACTGCAGGAGCTAGCCCTAGCAAATCACACTGTTCTAAAAATGGTGGCCAGTAAGCAATAGGTGGGCTCTCTTGGGGAAAAAACAGGAAGAAAACTTGGTGAGAGCTTGATCCTCTGCGGTGTCACCTTTCACAATTGAGTGACTGACAGACAAAAGAGAAGTGAGCTAAATCACCGGGAGGATGGATGCCTTCTGTTGTGGAATAGAACGAAATCCAGTGACATGCTCCCTCCCATTAGATCTGATACGACTGCTGTATGATAAAGATTAATTTCTAGAAATCAACCGTAAACCTATAGGTCAGCCAATAAGACAGTGACTTGACAGATTTTTAATTGCAAAGTGTATGATAGTTTCATGTCTCTAATCTGCATCACTGCAGACAGTGTATTGTTGAATCCAATGAAGTCTGAATCCCACTATGAATTTAATTGTTTTCCACAAGCAGATTATGAACAGAAACCGTTGATTGCTATTAATTATGTATCTTTGAGTGAAAAGCTATTGTGTGTGTATATATATATTTAATAACAGGAGATGTAAAAAACATTTATTTTTATTTAATAAAACAGATAAACCTATCAAAGCACATTTTCATTTAATTTCTTTGGTCTTGTTTCCCTTAGCGTAAATGAAAAATCATTAAGTGCAATCTTGTCTATCTTGGGACACACAGTTCGTTGCATCAGCTAGTTGATGTCACACAAAAGTGTCTTGTTTCTAAATAAGAGCTTTGAGGTTGCAGCAGTCTTTGTAACTGCACCCATATAGCACCATAATCTGATCGGGACCTCAAGGTACCACACTCGAGGTACTACTTACCTGTTGCGTTTAGGGTAGCACCTAACACAAGATCTCTCCGAACTCTGAAAAATGTAATCCCTGCATCGAGGAGCTCGTGCCCTATGAACAACGAGGAGGCAAAGGTTAGGGAACATGGAACGGGACAAGGAGAGGTAAATTGTAGATAGCTTGTAAATCCATCCAGTTTACAGTTGGCAGATGAGCTCCCCGGAGGCTGCGTCCAGCATCAACGTGGCACGTGGAAAGTAACGTAGAGGAGTAGATGAGGGGAACTGGCAAATGGCTGCAGCCTGGCAGCAGCGCTTTAGCAGGGGCGAGGAGGGCACGGGAAGGTGGGGGTTCCCGAAAACCGGCTGGTGGCAAAGCTGCGTGTAGAGACCCATGGACGTGAGTGCCACCAGCTTGAGTGGCTGCGGGGGGGGGCCGGGAGCCGAGGGGGGGGGCGGGAAAAGAGCAACGTAACAAAATTGGTGGACAAGGAAGATCAACTCCGTGACTGTTTTGGGTTCGGCTGGGGTTGGTGGTGGGTATCCGGGAAGGCCGAAGCAGGCTCTCCTAGGTGTCAGAGCAGCACGGAAAGAGGAGGAAGTCTGAAGCAGAGTGGTGCTTTGGTAGAGCTTGGAGATCTTCAGCAGTAGCGGCTGGATTTGGGTACGACCTGTTTTCCAAGGCAGAGGAGAGAGGAAAGGCAACGCATAAAACTGCCCTCTGTGCTGCCTGATGACTCGGATGGATGTGGGTCTCCGAAAAACATCACCTAGAGGAGGTTTCTTTCTGCTTGCAATGAGGTCATTGTCAAATAAATCGTATAAAAGGCTTGCTTTCTAGAAAAAGATTTTGACACTGCGAGTTGCAAAAGTCCACCTTTAAAAACAGCACTCTCCCCCAGCTCCGCCGCTGCTGGACTTCTCCGGCGTTTTGGTTGACCCACGCGCTGCACCGAGTCGCCCTTGATTTTCCGTCCTCCTCGGCCGTTCCCGTCCTTTCGCCCCGTTCGGGCGGTACACCCCAACCACGAGCTACTTCAGGGCTCCGGCCTCCCACAGCCTCCGCGTCCCACCTTCCCCCCGCCCCCAGGCCGGTGTCCGTGAGAAGGACAAACCCCGGGCCTGCACGGGGGGTGCGGGTGGCGCGGCCCCGGCCGCTGGCTGGCGGTGGGGCAGGAGGCAGCGGACCCTTGTGCTCTTCTCCGCCACCACGGGAAGAGCCCCCGGGGGTGTGTGTGTGTGTGTGTGTGTGTGATTTCGGAGGTGCCTCCTGCCCCCCCCCCGAG